TTTATTTTTGTGCTGGGCAGGGGTGCACTGTGGCTTTTACAAAGGTTCTTACAGTATGTTAAACATATCATACTTGAATTCACCCCCCTCGAGCACTTTCCTTTATTCCCTTCTCCCCCCACTTGAGAGTTAGGAATCTTGTCTTATATCTCTGGTCCCATGCCCATCGAGTCAACTGAAGTTCTGGGTGATGGAATGAACCACCCTTTGAGATAGGTACAGTTATGATGGGTACTTATGATGGACCTTAAAGAATGATCCAGAATCTAAAGCTTAATAAAAACATAATTATTAACTTTCTAGACAGTGTTATTGAGTACCCATGAATCAAATTATGATAAAAGGCTTCTGGAATTAGATCAGGTAACCTCTATTTGTGGTCTTATAAGGCAGTTCCCTGCCATTTTAAACATGAAGATCTTGGCCTTTGAAAGATTAACCTGCTTGACCAATGTCACAGTTACTTAGGGACATGGTTAGGATTCCAACCAGATCTATGTCTGAAAACAAATACTTTTATCCACTGGGTTGAACTTTCTTCTTTACAAATGTGCTAACATTCTCTAAACAGATGGTCTTTTGCTTATAATTATTTCAAATATATTTTATAATACCTCTTATTTTTCAAATCGTTATGACTTATCATCTCCAGGGCCAGGAGGAAAAATGAGCAAACAAAATGGGAGAGAGGAGGAAATGGTAAAAAAAAAAAATACTGATATAACTCAACATAAAGCTAAGTCCTGCAAAAGGAGAGTGTTGAGGTAGACATTAACATTTTGCTGTATAATGAGCATTTTGCTGCATTATTTTTAAATTGTGCTTGTATGGAAGTCATTGTTTTCTGGCTGCTATAGAAATGTCAATAGAACAATCATAGTGAAATGGACATTTCACTTCTTCATTAGGCAGTCATCATGTACATTTCACATTATCTTTGTGTCTGCTTTTTTCCACTGTCTCATGCCTAAGTACATCTGCTAATTTGCCAACCTTATCATTTGTCTCTGCTTTTTTTTCTGAATTTTTGAAGGTAACACCTAATTACACAGGATCTAATTCTTTCTCTTCCCTACAGTACTAATGATCAAGGTAAAATAATCAGACTCCTGAATAATTTCAATGGCAGTAGAGGAGTAAAGAATAAAGACTGACAAATTAACAGGAGCTTTTTTTCCTTATAAGTTTAATTCTCTTATCAATGTAGTAATTCTCTGTGAAAGTTCAAGAGGTAATTATTACCTACATATAAAGCAAGGCATGTTAAATTAAGGCACTGGGTTTAAATAAAAATAACAGAAAAACCTAACAATTTAAATGAACTACAGTAACAATCTGTTTACGTGTTTTCTTTCAAGACAATAGTACAATTTGCTAATTGCTAATTTTGTAATTGCTGTTGTGGGATAGTTTTACCTCCCATATTTACTGAAGTGTATCCAAATTACAATGAATATCAGTGCAATTTTCATTTTTAAAGAGGGTAGAACACTTCAGAAAAAATGAACCCCATTAAGATTAATTTTAAACTAAAAAGCTGGCATTATAATACGATAAAGCAGTAGGGGGGATTTTTAATTGGAAAAAAAGAATTTATAATGTCCTAATCATTTTTGCATTTTGTGTCACTGAATTACACTGGTTGTTTTTCAGTGAAAGGGGTAAAATTATTGAAAACCAACCTAAGCCATCTTCAAAAAATTTTTAAAAAATGAGTAATGAAAGGATTTTCAGGACACTAGGTATTCCTTCAGAAGAGGCTTCCTCAGAATCTCTAATTCTGATGGATCTGAGTTTGAGGGACGCAAAGATCATAACCATGCTTAGAACTCAAGGCTTGAAGTCCAACTGCCCCCTCTCATCCTCCTATTACCTTCGTAGGCTAACTTGGTGCAATTCACTTATTCTCCCTTAGCCTACGTCTTCACCAGTAAAATGGGCTTAACAGAACCTAATATGAGATTGTAGGGCATTAATTTAGCAAAGACAAAGGCTTACCTCACAGGCAGGCACAAAGAAAGAAAACGTGATTTTTAACACCTTGATCAATGTTATATTCTTATAAAAATTACTGGATTCCAGAATCACCTTATGTTCTAGGAACTCCTAGAATCCTGGATTTCTCAGTAAAATGAAATTAAAAGTATGAAAATAAAACCACCTTCAAGTAGATATCTTTTGTCTACGGGAAGAATGATGACAAGAGCATGACTCTAAGACTCACACACATCATTTAATTTTCTACCACCCAGTCCCTTAACTTCAGATCACTAAAGAAGATACTTCTGCACATCTCATGACTCTGTGAGGATAATACCACCAGTCTCCATTCTGCAGATAGGGAAGCTGAGGCCTAGAGAAGCAAAGGAACTGGAGAAAGATCACATGGACGTAACAGGTGAAGGTGTCACTAAGACGGAAGGAGTATGAAGCAAAGCTGAAAACTGACCTTCTAAGTCTGGCATGCCTCTCAGCCCTGTATATTATCAATATTTGATCGTGCAATCTGCTTTTGCATATTCTCCAGATTTTTACACCTTGTTAGGAGATACTAATGCATCTATTATAACTGCTCTTAAATTTAAAATTACAAAGCACATACACACACATTCTTCTTCCAGTACACAACCCAATTCTCATGTAAGAAAATAAGTGAATTATTTAATTTTTTCTCATTTTCCATTATATCAATAATAAATGACATTTGTTTATTAATTAAAACTAAGTCTTTTTCTAGAATATCTTCCAAATATGTAGAATGGTATACCACAAATATTATTTAAAATCAAATATATAAAATTGATACCAAAGAGAAGGCCTATGAAGACTGTGACTAGTTGATATTAATTTTAAGAAAACTCTTGTCAAAAATGTGAGAGTATTCATTCATGAACAAATAATGTCAGAAGATATTAGATAACCCTAATTCTATATGGTAATTTTCTGTTTCCCCCATTCTCCTCTTCCCTGCCCAGTTGAAATACCTGTAACATAGAGGCCATTATCTCAAATTGATGATTTTACTGAGTCAGTAGGATATAAAAATAATTTTTAAAATATCCTCTTAAAAGATGGAAGGGTTAAACGCTGGCTGGAAAATATTTTAAAAAATGACATCAATGAAAGTATCATGGTACCCTCCTATTTTCCCTGTTGATGTTCATCTTTGACTGTATCACAATTAATAATGCAGGAACATTTGGTTGTTATAAATTTTATTAGAATAATAGAAAATAATACATACAGATAACCATAGGATATACACACACAAGAAATTTAAAGATAAATTTTATACTTTTCAATATGAAACAATGTCCACATCTCATGGAGATATTTGCTAGAAATAACATGAAAGAAGAGAGTAATCATGTTGGAAATAAAAAGTATAAGAACAAATTATAGGAATTACTACATAATAAAAAGGTTCAACTTCATTATATGTAGCATAAAATACAAGTATTAGAGAAAGTGTTCCCCACTTTTTGCCAGAAATAACAATGGTCATATGAAATCTACTAGTCATTCAGATTTTTTCTCAATATGTACAATATATACAGAATTACAGAGAAAGTTAAAAATTTTTTCTCCTTTTTATATAATGACTTTATCTTAAATTTAATCTATAAATGTAAAATGGTACTTTATGAGAATATCAGAATTTTGCTAATTTTTAATCTTTTTTGATAATTGAGCTGTTGGTTTTAAATTCTAGTATCTTTGGAAATATGAACAAGTTTTAGCAAAAATGTGAAATTGGTAGGAAAGAGGTAAAAAGTGATTTTGAATGTCTGAAAATCTGCCAATTTTCATATATTCTTTACAACATATTGCTGTGAAGTCATGTCTTCAACAATCTTTGAAAACCACATATTGAAAGACTGAGTCATACATATCAAAGCCAGCAGCTAAAAAAGCCTGCCTGACTCACTGAGATAGACAGTGGGATTTCATTAAAAAACCATCTCTGAGTCCCTTAATGGAAAAAGAAGAATTGTGTGCATTTTGTTTAGTATTTGGGTTGAAATTCAAGTCATTCCTTATTTTCTCCACCAGGTTATTAATAAAGCCTGAAAGTTTATTCTGAGGTGTGAGAGAAACAATTCTTTGTTAATTTTGTTTTAATTTTTGAGACAGGATAAAATGTGTTCATTTTAATTTAGAGTGTGGAATGAAAGCTTCAAAAATATGGCTGGTTCTTGGGAGTTTTTTGCACAGGAACATTGAACTTGCAGTGACAGAGTACTTTTTCACCCCTCCCTCTTCATCTTTTAACAACTAATTCATGGGGCAGAGGCAGGTCAGATGGGTGTTATTATCTCCACATTTTATAGATGAATAATTGAGGGGTACAAGAGAGCAAAGAGATTTATAAACTTTCACAACCATTTAGAAGTCTGCTTAACCAAACACCATTCTCCTAAACTCCAGAGTGCCATTGCCCAACAACACTCTTGAATCACATGCCACCCCCTTCCTACAGGATAATTGCCTAAATGTATTTTTCACCTTTGGGGATTTAAACCAGTATTTCAAAATGATACTGATTAAGTCTTACAAATAATGTTGTAATAAGGGCAGAAAGCATTTGGATTAAATGAAGAGTTTTTCAATGCATTAAAAAACTTTATGTGTGTGTGTCTGTGTGTGTGTGTGTGTGTGTGTGTGTGTGTGTGTGTGTGTGTGTGTGTAGGTGGGAGTATGTGAGTGAGTCATTATTCATAGGCAGTGCTTAAACTCATAGCTTAAGAACATTTATATAAAAAAGTCTGCAGTATGTAATATGCAAATTCCTTTGGTTTATCAAGTAAATATTAAGGCATTTCAGATTCCTCTAAAAGGATTTACTGTTTTTTATTTTATTCATATTTTACCTATAATGAAGTAGAAAGTTAAAAACACAGAGTTGAAAAAAACACATGCATAATCACTGTGTTTCATGAAAGCACTTTTTTTCCAGGTAACCAATTAACTTTCCAGTAAATAATAAAAAAGAGTAACTATCACCACAACGCATTTACAATAAAGAACAGTACTACAGAAATGTAACTTGACATAGGGTGGACAGTTGAGATGGCTGAAGTGGATCCTCTTGCATCCATGTCTGTCAAAGATGATAAACAGTTCATTAGTAAGGACTGTATCAATATGTAATCAGGGTACTAGAGACTGAATGTTTATGTCCCCTGCATAATATTATTCCCCAATGTGATGGGGCATAGAATTAGGAGATGGAACCCTTGACACATGTCCCTGAATCTGCTGGCAGCTTGATCTTGGACTTCTCAGCCTCCAAGGCTGTGAGACATAAATTTCTGCAGTTTAAAGACACCCTGTCTATGATATTCTTTACAGCAGTCTGAATGGACTGACACAGACAAAAGCAATGTCTCTCCTACAAAAATCAAATCATGGCATGACCCCAATCTAGGATCACAAGCTATTCATTATTAGTCATTATTTTAGTCATCAATGTAGTAGATGGTAGTTGCCAAAAGTACCTATAAAAACACTGCTGTGGTTAAATATTCATAAATGAGTCTAGTCTTTGTTTAGTATTGTTCAACTTTAATTGGAATTGGAAAACAACTTAATCATTTTAAAAACAATTATACTTGATCACAAACAATTGGTGAGATAATTCGATAGTTTAATTAAAGAAAGCTTCATTAGATAAGGGGTTGGAAAATCAGCTTGTTTCTATTTTATGTAGATAAATTATTACACATAATATCAGCCATCATCTTTAAAAAAGCAATCAATAAAAGCTCCATTTTCAGAGACAGCAATGTGCAGTCCCTAGACTAGCAATGTCAGCAAGACTGCAGATGTCAGATGAAAAGGCTCGTATTGAGTCAACAGCCCAAAATGCTAAAACTTGTATCTGTCCCTGCAGAAGCATACAACTTATTTCTGTTAACATTGCCACTGTGGCTATATTGTCATGTTAACACTGTACCTTGCACTATTCAGGGAACAAAAATCATGTGCTAATAATTTTTAAAGCAAAACTAATAAAAGCAATAGTAATTTTTTAAAAGCAATTTTTTGTTTTGGTCTATTGAAGTACATGCAGTTTTCAACATGTTTGCAATCCCAAATGGTTTTTACAGACTTTTACTTGCAGAACTCAATTGTGAGATACATATCTGTCATTTTCTTAGGATAGTTTGGTTTGTTTACTTTTGTCTAAGTAGGGCAGTCTACAATTTCCTAGAAATAGAAAATTCCTTTACCTTTTCATATCTTCCTTTGTTTTCAGTTGCTAATGTTAGTTATTTTCTTTCCATGATTTAAGACAATGGTTTCAATCCTGATTGCCCAGTACTATAGACTAGACATAGGTCAATAAACGGAAAGAGGGGACAAGCTATTTATGTCACTAAGAACCACAGAATAGTTTTTGAAGACAAGATGGGCCCTATGGTACTTACATTGAGGTTTGAAAACTGCCAACATGAGATTTAAAAGGAAAGATAAAATTGCTTCTACCACTGTCAGTGTTAAAATATTTATGTCAAACTGTTCCCTTTATTCTGAAAGTGTAATTTCTATAGTAAAATGGGTTTTATTTGGAGTTTTAGAGTAAAAGGTTAAGTGTGACCCTTGTTGAAATTAAAAAACAGATTTTCTTTTTAAAAAGTTATCTTTTTGTTTGGTACACATAAATCATTAACTTTTCTATTGAAAGAATTGATAAGCTTTGTCTATAATTTATTTGTGGGAGGCAAGCAACTGGAATATTTTAAAAAATTGTAAAGATAATGCCTCACTATGCAGCCCAGGCTGGCCTTGAACTTGAGATCTTCCTGCTCACTCTCCTAAGGATTACAGATGATCACTGCAGCACCCAGAAGGCTGTCCCCATCTTTTTCCATGATGTGTACTACTCCTGCTCTCATTCCTTAGGTGCCAAACCTTCTCAGCATTCCCAGGAAAGGCATCCCGGGAAAAAAGCATGGGGGTAGCACTGTTTGATTTGCTGTGGGGGCCTACTAACACTAATGTGAGTGATGGGAAAAAAATTCCACCAACTTACTGGTTATTCTTGGAATCCTGATCTGTTCACTGCTGGTGCCATCCCCTCCGTCTGTAGTGGCTTTGACTTCAATAATGTAGTCCTCTTTGATAGGCAGCAAAAGTTCAGCTGAAGTTTGATTTGTGTTCAGCACCTGCACATTATTTTGACTGCTAGTCCTATAGAAAACCTAAAATGCATAAGTGGATACACTTCTTAGATTGCCTGAGATTTATTTCCTTCACAAAATTTGGCACTGTGAAATTACCTTACTTTGTCTTTTTATAAACCTAGAATATGAATTGCATTCCTGGCTCTATTCATGGGTCTTAAGATTATGGGTTAGTACAGAGTAGAGTCATCAGGTTCTCAAAATCAAGGAGGTGGGAAAGAGTGAACTTCTTCCAGAAGGCTGAGTATTGGTAAGGCTGGAGAGAGGGGACAGGGCCATGCTTTTGGGACCTTGAATGTGTGACTAAGGAATCACAGCAAGTTCTTTCAGTAGTATATAGTGAATATCAGAAGAAGAAAACTGATAGATACACAATTTACAAACATTGTGCCTGAAATTCCCACATGAGCACATTGTTTTATGTAAATTTGTACAGGAGAAGTCAGATCTTGTAGAAAAATATCTTTTTAATGAAAAGCTTCACTCCTATGTTAAAATTAGATTACAGAAAAAGCTGTATCACCAACATTTAAAAATTTTTATATCAACCTAGTTTTGATTGGAATATGTTGCCAAAAGTGGGAAAAGAAAGTATTGCGAATGATGGACTTACTTTATATCCTGTTACTTCTGATTCATTCTCCATTGCTTTCACTTGCTCCCAATTAAGTAACACTTTCGTGTCTGTGGCATTCCAAACTACATTTCCTGGTGGCTGACTGGGAGCTTGAAATGCAACATGAGAAACTAAAATCAGTTTCAGCACAGAGTAACATTTTACATGGAGAAGATAAATGACCATAAAAGTCACAATGGAAGCAGAAAACTCTCTTTGGCAATGCATGGGTACAGACAGAAGTAGAAAAACTAACAGAGTAGCTGCATTTCCTTTTTTAAAAAGAGTATTTCCATTAAATTGTAAGAAAGTCCACTGTAATGTATTCATCACATACTGTAGGGCATTTCACACATGTACTTAATTCCCTGCTGGAAAACATGTTAATAGTGAAGAGAAGAAAATTCCTTTGTCACCCACTAGAGGGATGCTCGTTGATGAGGCAAGAAAGGCAAACAGTGTGCCTTGTTTTGACAAGTACAGAGGCTGAGAGAAATGGCCAAATGAGCAGATTTAAGTTGCATGAAATGAAGTGTGGATGATTTTTAAGCCAGTCTGGTATGATGAGACGGGTAAAATGAGAGGTAGTCAAAAATAAGGATTACTTAGATTTATTCTCATGAACTAAGAGCTACACAGTTGAAAAATTGCAATGTTGAGGTCATATTTTAAAGTCTTCATTTTTGAAGTTTAAATCAATTTTTGAGAAAAATAAGTCCAAACACTAGAAAGTTAATGAGAATTCCATTAAAAAATTAATGAAACTCTATGAGGTTTATAAATGTGGTTTCGTAGTTTAGTTCCCTCTCATAAGTACCGGGTAGGAAACTCATGCCACAAAGTGGGGGGAAAAAGAGAGGGAAGTGTTCAATACCAGTTGTCAGCAGCAACACAGATGGGACACTAAAGATTCAGTTTCATCAGTCACAAAACAACAACCATATTACTCATTTGTCAACAGCACCACAGTTGCCGAAAACAGTGCTGAAGCATGTTGAACGTGTGGATTTAAGCACAGGATGTGATTTGTTAACTGAATTTGTGATGGGAAAAGCACATAAAAGATTGCCTCTCCAGAGAAATTTCTAAACGTCATTGACTTATGCCATAGGGGAAATACAGCTGGACTTACAGATGGGAAGAGCTCTCAGATACATTTGTGTGACTAATAACACCAAACAAGATTGTATTCCCTGTGGATTCTTTTGCTTCTTGTCTCCTCCTTAACGCTAGTTTATGCTGCTTTTAAATTTTCAACATCTGATACTAACAATGAATTTAGGTCAGCGGAGATTGTCCAGGCTGCAATGCTATGATTAAAGAAAAGAGGAATAGCAGTTCAGGGTTGGTACAGTAATGAGCACGTTCTGGTTGTTCCTTTCAAATGACACGAGCGCACACTTGTTAGAACATCTTCCCAAAGTCTGTGACTCCCTGTGGCTGACAGCAGTATGAAAGGACAGGTTTGATTTGATGCAACTCAGATAACACACTTCAACATAGGTTGTCCTAATAAAAGATCCGTGCTTGGAGGTTTTAGAAAGTTTGAATCATTTTGGCCGAATCACCAATTCCAACATCATCCTTGCAGAAGAAATGATTGCAAAGTAGGGTTTATCTTGTAGAAGCCCAAAAATAGAGGAGTTCAGCCTGAAATGAATACTTTTTGAAATGACACAAAGAAAAAAAAGGGAAAGGGAAATGAAGGAAAGACAGAGACCCATTCTGGGTCTGATTGTTCTTTTTTTTAAACCATATCACTGTTTCCTGAGTACCAGAATCATTACCACTTTTGTCATTTTTGCTGTTTTGAAAAGTGACTTCTTTTTACAAAAAAAAAAAAAAACAGCTATTTTAGCCTCACCCCTAACAATAATATTCATATAATAATGAGCTTGATGTATGAGTTATATATTTGATACTCTAAAATAAATGAAGCTAATTCTTCATTTAAAATTTTTAAAATTTAAAAATATTTGTGAATCACTTTAATAATTATCTCTTACTACCACTGGTAAGAAGAACACCATCTGGGAAATTCTGGATCAGATAAACTTTCTTCCATGTTCAAGAGTATTACAGTCAGTAACACTGCTTAGTACACATCTATAATGTGTTAGGCTCTGCAGAATGTGCTTTTATGTAATATAATCTGCAGGACTTTGCATTGTAGTAATGGGTCCCTAAAATCTGTAGGACCTTGCATTGCAGTAGTGGGTCACCTAGATGGAGAGTTAAGAAAAAAATGTTTTCTTATGTTCATAGCAGTATTATTCACAGTATTTAAAAGGCAGAAGCAAACCAATTTTAATTATCTATAACCAGAAGAATGGATATGCATACATGTTGCGCAGTCTTAGAAATGGAATTTTGGGCTGGCAGAATGGCTCAAATGGTAGCATACCTGCCTAGCAAGCACAAGACCCTGACTTCATACCCAAGTACCACCAAAACCAAACAAACAAACAAAAAAAGAAAACAAAAGAAATTTAGAAATAGAATTTTGACACAAGCTATAACATGGAAGAGCCCTGAGGAAATAAGGCTAGGTGAATAAGACAATCACGAAAACACAAATACTATGTGATTCCACTTGTATGAGATACCCAAAACAGTGAAATGCAGAGACAGAATGTACAGTGGTGATCATCAGGGACTGGTGGGGAGATGGTGAGGAGTTGGTTAAGGGCTGTAGTACAAGACAAAAAGAGTTCTGATGACCCGTTGCACAGCAGGGTAAAGGCACTTAATACTACATAACTATACATTTAAACACGGTTAAGATGGTATGTTTTATCTTAAGTGTACTTCACTACAATTAGAAACAGTTTTTGTTTGCTTGAATCAGGATCCCACTACGTAGCCCAGGCTGGCCTGGAACTCACTATGCAGCTCAGGCTAGCTGTGAATCTGTGATCTCCAACTACTGAGATCTCAGGCCATACCTGTCAAAAACATACTTAGAACTTCTTAAGACACACAACTAGTGAGAGGCATGCTGTGGATTCATACCAGCTCTGTTTAATTCCCCTGACACATACCAACACTACACTTCTCTGCCTACCTCTCACTGGTGTTAGGCTTGACCTGGCTCCCCACAGGAAAGAAGACAGACTTCCCTTTCTCAAAGGCGTCTCATGACACCAGGCTTCATTAACAGATTACACCAGATTTATAGTACAATGCTAACTGATAGGCTATAACACTGTTTGGATAATGTTAAATGTTAGGTAACAAAAATAGCATTATACCAAAAAAGTTTGTATCGTCATTGTTTTATAAGTGCTCATCATGGCCCTCTGTGTGTTTGACTGTTGGACTCTTCTGCATCCCAGTTATAGATTTTACTTATTCTGAGGATGTCTGCCTGCAATAGTGTGATTGCTATGATGTTATGAAAACTGGATAAAGCAGGGAACATAAGACATATTGATTGATAGGAAATAGCTAAATAAATTGTGCTCTATTAACATGATTAAATATCACACATGGCTATAATATATGGATGACTAAATACAATGCATACCCTCCACTCTGTAAGAAAAATAATCCATAAGACATAAGTTTAGAAAGAAGACCCCTGATATATTAATCATTATATTCTCTGGTAACAGGATTAGGCAACCCTGGTTTTCTTCTTTCCCAAATTTTCTACAATGAATATGTTTCCCTTGGTTTAATAAAAACAGAGATTGTTAACACACGGACAAAGAGCATTCTTGTGTGGCATTTTCAAGGGTGATGTCTCTATAGAGTAGTAATGATGAAGCTGGCATTATTTCCTTCAGAAACATAAAGTTTTAAGAACATATGCTTGCTGTGATTAATTATATAAAACTCAGTTTGCTTCTCCACTCTTTTTCTTGGCCACCTGATGGTAATAAGATGACTTTCATGAAAGTGAATGTTGTCACCAGTAGCTGAAAAGTACACTTTGCACTTGGACTTTACTTGACATGATCATGAACATTTTTAGTTAAGTTTCTTAAAGGTGGAATTATGCAAAAATGAAATAATCAAAGCCCACTTTCTATCCAATGATAAGATTCTTTGTTGTGGAATCACTGAAATGACTGTAGATGGATTTAATGTTTCCTATCATAGGAAACTGATTAAATGTTTTAAAACTCATCCAAAAACTAAGGAAAGACTAGCCTTGAGGCTCACCCCAGAACATAAGGGAATGTCTTTGTTTTTGATGACTAGAAGTTTTCTTGACCAAAATTTCTGGGTTTTTTTACATAATAAAAATATTTTAAAGTATAAAGTACCCTCAAGCAGGGTATTTGTAATAGTCTAGAGGATTCAGAAGCAAGTGGGCCAGATTTTTCAGAATACTGCTAGACTTTGTACCAAATAAATTTGTAAGATTTACACATTCGGTTAGAGGATTTACTTCATTCTACATTAGCTGAAACATTCTGCTTGAATTCTGTAAAATTTCCATATTACACTGTTATCTTTCTTCAGTACTTACAAAATTTGGAATAACTTTGCTAAAGCCTATAGATAGTAAAAAAAAAAAATCATTCCTAAATCTAAGGGATACATATCAATAAGCAATGTTTGTTGTATTGTGATTTGTGGTATGTCACAAGGAAGTCACAAACATCCACAGGATGTGATGACACATAGAAGAGTCAACAAATAACATTCAACAACCTCGAGAAAGAAATTCTCTTTTAGTCTTCTCACGAGTTTGAAGAGAAAATTGGATTTGAGGGTTACTGCTCAAATCCAGCATCACAAATATGGAATGGCTTCAGAAGTTTGTATAGGCAAGAGTATATGTTGTAAGTATGTAAGGGGGAAGAGAGTCATTTTTTTCATTGCATTTATTCTTATTATTAAATATTATTTTGTTAACATCTACGTATAGCAATGACACTACAGATAAAAGTTAGATTCCGTTTTATTTTTAAATTTATTTGACTAAATATAGTAAAGGGAGCTCTTTTTTTTTCTTCAGTATTGGGGTTTCAACTTAGGGCCTCATGCTTGCTAGACAGGTGCTCTACAAGTTGAGCCACGCTGCCAGCCCAAGTCAATTCTTAAGAAAAAAAGAATTAGGTACTTATCAGTAGAGGGAGACCACTGAAATGGCAAAAACTAAGAAGATGGATTACAAGTAAAATTTTGCATTTTTTGCATTAATGTACACACTGAGCCAAAGCTTTGAGTGGATGATTATGTAATTAAATTGTATATTTGAAAAGTTTAAAAATTTCAAATGATCTATGAGGCAGGAATATCATTTATCAAAAACCTCTGAAATATCCAGACTCATTCTCTTAGTGCTTATTGTAGTCACATTTACATTTCACTTTTGGAAGGTACATTTAATTGGTTTTCTTAAGTTCGGGCAACTGATTTTGGCTTAACATTCCATTTTCTATTTGGAAAAGCAAAATGTCAACATGAAAGCTGATTGTACTACTTAATATTACACTAATCTCTCAAGTGGACATACATGCACAATGAGAAGGCAAAAAAGATAGTATTCCCTTGTTCTGGTGAACTCTGCACATGTGACTCAAACAAGCCAAGATTTTTCTAGTAACTGTCCACAACTGGTTCTCAGGTGGATATTAACCTGAGATGAGCCAATAAGCAACCTACTTAGCTCTGAGTGGAATAATCAGAAAGAAGATGCTTACTTTTTAGAGTGTTTGGCTGACAGAAAATAGCTATTGAGGTGCTGATGTTAAAATGATGCCGCTTGGGAACAGAGACAAGGTATGGAGAGTCATTGTTTGTTCAACAAATACTTAGTGGACCTCAACTATGACTATTTACACAACAGAGACAGAGCTCTTGAAATAATACAGCAACGGTGAGACCAGGAAAACATCCCTTCCCTGAAAGAGCAGACATCCAGTCAACACAGGCGGGGAGACGATAATAAAATAAATATATACAAGATAGAGTATATGTGGTGACTCTAAGGTATATGCTCAAAAAAAAGCAGGGGAGGAGAAAGGGAATGTCGTCAGGAGGTAAATGGTTATAAGGCAGTCAAAAGGCATCGAGGTTACCTCTGAGTGAAGAACTGAGATATGGGGAGTGCAATATATGCATATCTGGAGGAAGAATTGTCTAGGCAGGAGGGACAGCAAATGCAGAGGCTCTGAAGCGAAAGTGGAATGAACAAGGTAGATTACAGTAAGAAATGAGTTGGAGCAGGAATTGTAGGGTAGGTTGTACGGAATCATGTGGAATATTTTAAGGACTTATCATTTATCTGGATTAGACAAGAAGAGACTGGAAGGTCTGGAGCAGGGGTGTGACATCCTCAGGATTACTCTGGCCTAAGGGAAGCAGGAGTAGAAATAGGCTGAATAATAAGGGATCACAGTCCTGAACCATGGGAATGATGAAGGCAACTTGTACCAGGGGGCAACAATGAACGCGGCTTTTAGAACTAGCAGATTCTTGATAAATTCAGAAGCCAGTTTCTGGATCAATTGTCAGGTCCCAGAGAAAGAGAAGTGTCAAAGGTGACTGAGATTTGGGCTTGAGGAAACAAAATAATGGGATGGAATTTGCTGAAATGGGGGATATTACAGAAGTGACAGATTTTAAATGGTTGGGCGATATGATCAAGAACTCAGTTTTAAGAAATACTGAGTTTGAGATCCTATTAGATAATTCTTGAAGATACTGTTTCAGTTCCTGGATCCATCCATATTGAAAGTCAGAAATGCCACTCGAATTTCCTGTTATACAAAACAGAATATTTGTCCTTCAGATTCTTTCTGGCAAACTCTGGACATCAGATTGTCAATATGTTTCCTTTTAGAAATCAACAAATTTCATCTTTTAAAGCTATCTGCAAATTTTCCTCATCAATATCATTAGATGGACACTATTGTAAGAGTTAGCTCTCTTTGGGCTGCATGTGACAGAGACTCATCTTTGATTACTTAAAGAGGCTAATTACTATTAGTTTCAAAATGCTTTGAAAATGCACAAGTATTTGGATATCAAAAATTAAGTGTTTAATGGAAGCTAAAGTACTTTGCTTGAGAATCCTTGTGTCATTTTACATTAATCAGAAATATCACTCCGATTCTTTATTGACATAAAGCTTTGCATACAGAATTCCATGATTATGAGGACACTACACTTGCACACTTTATGCAAGATGGGAAAAGGCTGCAGCCTGGATTGTGAATTCACAGTGTGCAGTCCAGAGGAAGTACATTTGATTAATAATAGTACTTCGAGCTGGCTTGCTTCTTTAGGTTTCATTTATCCATTCAGCCAGCTATTCAGCATTTATCCAGAGGCTGCCATATGCTAAATTTGGGCCGGGCACTGGGCCTGGGTGAATATAGCAGCGAGAGATGCTCTGTCAAGTTTACAAACCAGAGGCTAAAACAGATAGCAAGCAAGTAATCAAAAATGTTATCTTAGTTCTTTACCCCTGAGGCATACGGATCAGTCTCTTCAAATGATAATCACAAGAGCCTTACCTAGACTTCTAAATAGGATTTGGAGCTAAAGTACATCAAAGGTTAGGATGGTTATTAAAAGCTACCAGTAATAATATTATAAATAGCTTTAAAAGATTCTGTTTTACTTCTATTTTTGTATGGGCTTGAAAATTTGTTGACATAAAATTTAAAAATGAACACATGCTCCTTTATTTTAAGATGACAAGGCATTTTAATTATCTGTGTGAACTTCCCACCCAACGTAGAAAATTTCTCCTTAATAACATGTACAGAGCAACTTAATATGCATAGTCCAGGTGAATTTAGGCAATAGAAGTACATTATCTTCAAGAGATGTTACTCAGTTGTTGAAACAACTATAGTTCTGTCAGCATCAAATTCCTGCCTATTTTTGAACACCTTATCTAGTCACTAAGTACAGAGCAAAATCACAATAAATACTGGTGTTAAATGAGTTGTGAATATTCTAATTATATGGTTGAAAGAGAGGATAACAGTGGTGCAGACGAAGTCTGTCTTTGGATGACTATAATGTTCCTCACTTTTCCATCTCTGCAAAATTAAATAACCTTCATGTGCCTCAGCCTTTTCATCTCTAAAGTGAAGATGCTAATAGCTTCCAAGTCATGGCGTTGCTGTGAGAATTAAGAATCGATACATGAAAAGTGCTTAGGACCATAACTGGAAATTGCTCACTAAGTGTTAGCCATTAATACCATAATTACCATCATCATTGTTATGAGCAAATCTCTACTTTGGACTGGGTATTTATAAATTATAAAAGGGTTTTGCTTCTTTTTAAAATTTTATTTCACTCATTGCACATTATCATTCTAGTCCCACTAACTTATAATCAGTCTCTTCTGTGTTCTCAGTTCACTAAGTTCTTCACTGATGCCACCATAATGTCACACTGTCTTTTACAATCATGTTTTCTAGTGAGTAATTATAGTCAGACTGTGATTATTAAAAAAGAGGAAAGAGCCAAATAAATTTGTTTGCATATAGTTTTTGCAATCAGAATTTTTGATTGATGCTGTGCTTTCAACTTATAATGATCTATACTTAAGACTTTCAAAATTGCTACCAAGAGAGCCAAATATATTTAGTGAAAAGTTGAAAATATAGAGCATTTTTAGTTAATGTACTATCAGAGCAACGTACTACATGATCTAACAGCAACTACTGTGTTATGCATAAGAGTTTGGGTCAGACTTCCCCTAATAATTAGGTAAGGATAATGTTAAATCCTCCCATTTGTTGGTTGCTTAAAAATAGTTGCTACTAAGGGATTAAAATGTTTTGTTGCTAAACTGTTGCTCTGCAACGCTCATTATGCTAACAAGTTGTGAGTCACACATTTTTTTCTATACATAATACAAAGATAAACACCCAAACTTCCCAATTAAAGTCACACTGGTTAATTAATGTCTAGGGTAGTAGGATTATGTTTTATAGGTGAACTATCAGTTACGATGCTAGCCCATCATATTCAACTTTTAGCCAACATGTGTATACTTTCAAGTAAAGTTGGAGATGATACATGCAAACACAAATTCATTAATGTGATTAGAAACTAAGCATGCTTGTCTCATTCCTACACTAAGCCAGTTAATCACACATATTTACTGAAATGAATTTTCAAAATAATTTAAGAAAACAATTACCAGCAATCAAAAATACCAACGTGCTAAAGTTACCTTATTTCATCATTCCCCATTCTTCCATGAAATATTTGGGACATGGATATTCTCAGTCACTTTTAGCTGTGATGATGAGCATGACAACAGCAACTCAAATGGGTTGCATTGTGAGAAAGTAGCAATGCAAAGCAATGATTAATATGCATCATGCTATCAGTTTAACTGATATATTTGTAGGATGTTATGAACATAAATCACTGACTTCCTTGTAGGCTAAGTTAATTATAATTCAACAATAGAGCTTGTGAATTTACCTGTGAATACAGAGCTAATAAAAACTCAGAAGCTTTGAAGGCAATATTGACATCCCTGGATAGATATTTTAAAGTATCAATATATTCATGTGGACCTTATCTTTTGATAGCAACTTTTTAATATATTATGACTACATAATAATGATAATATATTAACATATCATCTAATATATTATCATCTTTTGAACAATGTGAGAAAGAAAAGAAAGGGGAAAAATAAGAGAAGAAAACATGTCCCTAATTCTTTGGTGTTGTTTTTAACTTATGCTTATCAAAAACCCCTAACATTTGGGGAACTAAAAATCCATAAAAGTAAACCTAACCAAACTAATCATATTTTAAAGAAGACTGGATAGATTTAACTTAACACCCCACACTAAGAATTTTAGAAATATGCACATTCATTTTCACATGGAGGATCCACCCAAAGATTTAGGGATATCATGCAGATATTGATACAAAGGGCCCTGGGCTTATAAGAGTTTTGAGCTAGGCTTATATTTAAAATGATAAAGGAGGTTATCATTTTAAATACAAGTTATTTTCTTTGACATTCAAAAATGGAATGTACATACGGGTTTTCTTGGTAGTTGCATTAACTGTGACACTAAAGGGACCAGCACCCGCGCTGTTGTAAGCCCGGACAGACGTGTAATAGGCCAGGTTGCTCTTCAGACCCCGGAGCCTGGCTGATGTCTCATTTCCTGCCACTTTCATTTTGCTTGATGATTCTTCTTCTCCTCCATTATTCCAGTACCGCACCTGGTGGATGGCAGACATAAAACATGCACACGCTGAACAAAATACAGCCTTTTTCAAAATTCAGGGATTTTCATTAAAATGGGTACTGCAATTTATTTTTCTGCTTATTCAACAAATATTTCCAGAGGACCTATTACTACATTGGGTTCTGTGTCATGGCAGTGAACATACATAAAAGGGATACTAGAAGGAGATGAATAACATAAAAATGAAGCAGATAAATCTAGAGAGCTGAGTATGACCAAAATATAGGATTGTAAGTGGAAGAATGAAGGGGAAACGTATGAATCTAACAAGGCGAGCTGCTATCCCTTCTCAATCCTTTACCAGCCTAGCCAAGCTCAAGTTCAGAATGCTGGCATCTATGCATAAACTCCATGGGACAGTGGAGGGCTGTCCATAAGTGAACTGTCAGAAAAGAAGATCAATAGAAAGCCAACTGGCTACTGGATTATCCAACAGTGACGGCCAAACATCAAGAAGTTCACCTGCGCATTCAGAGCTGAAGCTGAGAGACAGAAGTGAGTTAAGTTAGTTCATTTCAAATATAAATGTATAGTACAGTATTTCATTATTTTCTACTGTGCAAAGTCATTTAGACTTAGTTTAAAGGTATGTACATAAATGGTATAAAATATAAAAATAAGTTAATGACAGTACTTGGTAGAGAGACATAAGGTAGGAAAAGTAGGATAGAAATGCTTCTTAACTGCTTCACCCCCCAATCTGTGCTATAAAAATTTGCCATGCTTTATTAGAAAGTTTGGATTTTTCATAAAAGAACAAACCAAAATCAACAAAGACAAAACACACAATGACTAGCTTATGCAAAGTACAACTAGTCATTACCATTTGATCATATAAAGCGAGAGCCATACAGTAAACATGAATGTGTAGAGCAGACTGGGTACTTACTAAAAGAACAGGCATATTTTGTGCTTTTGTAAGAAAGACTCTCCTGTCTTTCTTGCAGTACATGGCCTTCATTTTTCTACTCTTGATAGCAAAATATGAAAATTGGAAACAATTTTTATAACTTAAACAAATAAATGTTAGTTTGAACACAATAAAACTGGCAACTGAACTTCAGTACTCAGAATTCTGAAGACCTGAAGACTTGGGGGACCAGCACAAGCTATACTGCAAAAGTTCTTCTTAAACATGGAGCTCCTATTTAGCTCTTCCTGACTAGGGGAAGGCAGACGTGGTATTCACAGATCATATGTTTTGTTTTGTTTGTTAAGGAAGGAAAACTAATTCTCATGTGAAATGCTCCAAATGTGGGGTTGCCTCATTTTTTTAAATACACTATATAGATAAAATAAAATGTGTTTATGGGCTAGATAGGATAATTAGTTACAGTACTTGGGGGAAAATACATTAGTAATTGCTTTTTTTTAAATAAGCAACCATAAAATTGTCTCTTAAAACAACAGTGTGATGTACCTCTCAGCTTTTTCAATAATGGTCACAAGTCAGCAAAGTAAATCTTGTACTAGTTTTTGTAACAATCTCAAAAGGAGGATATTTACCCAAACAATTAGAACTGAAGGTGATACATGGCTTACTGTATAAAGGCACAAAGCAACCTCTTAGTAGGCGCTAAAAACTTGTATACATCCTAAACGCACCAACGTTATACACTGTATGTATCGATATGTTTAGATAACTCCAAATGATATTTTCCCTGTCCAGGAGAGTACTGTCTAGTTATTTACTAAGAATGACATAAAATCAATAATTATAATAAAATGTTATAGACAGCCTGAAAACTTGTAGCCCGGGATATATCTTAGATTGTAGAAAATCATATAAATCCAAGCTATAATAGTCCTCACTTGATAGATAGGAGAGCAGAGGACATAGGAGAGAGATGGAGGAATTAGGTAATTCTATCAAGATCATCCTGTCTAGGTTTTGGTCTCTTGTTAGTTTCTAATCCATGAGCCATTCTTTTTATGATATATAAAATTGTTGCAATATGAGCTGCATAAGAGAACATTTCTTAGGAGATGGATTTAAAGAAGAAATAAAAATAATTCATAATTGGCATGCAAAATCTCTTTTTATAAATCCATTTATACAAAATACTTGAAAGTTCTCGATAGCACTGTGTTTTAAAGTACTTTAGCCACGTATTAGGAGGAGAGACAGTTATTTTTAGATCTTAGTTGCTGAGAGGTATTAAAAATATTTAGACACAGAGAAAATATGTGCTGAATTTGAAAATGATACTTGTTAGTGAAAGTTGATTATGTCATCTTCTGAAATAGCTTTAGTAAAAAAGTTGCATAAATATATAGATAACTAAAACATAAGGAAACAAAGCAGTGCCATTAATATTGCTAACTTTCTGCAAGTATTCCACAATGTTCTATAAAATTTTGCTTAAAAATGTTTAAATAGGGCCAGATCATTTTCAATAAGGTTGACAAAAAGTAATAAAAATGAAGAGCATCCCAGTTTTCCTTTCAGTTGTGTTCTGGATTTAAATATTAAAACTATTCCAACTGAGAGAAGAGATTATCTCTTTGCCAATTTGGATTTTATAGTCACAACCACAGCAGAAGAATAGAGAAGGAACTTACTTTAGGAATGTAATTGTGCAGAAAAGTGCACATGAAGGTGACATCCACACAAGATGAGCAAAGAGGCAGGCATTACAAAATCTACGAAGAAGTCTGCTAACAAGAAAGTCAGCAGACTGACCAGTGGAAGACCAGCTACAATGCACTGATATGAAATGGATTTTAAAATTCTTATATTTGAAATATCCAAGTTTACTTTTAAAAAGGGATTGAATTCATTACAAAAGAGTAGGAGGTAAAAAAATGCTCAGGCACATTTGAAAAATAACCAGCAGAACTCTTAGACCTGAGAAGTATAATTATTTTAAAAAGCATTTTTAAGAACTAAGCTGAAGAGTGAAGTAATTAGCCCAGACCAAATGTCCAGAGAAAGAAATAAAAATTTTGAAAGCAACTTAGACACAGAAGAGAGAATGAAAAGTTCCAACCAGAGTTTCTGAAGGAGAAATGAAGGAAAAAGCGACATTCAAAGGGAAAATGGATGAGAATTCTTCAAAACTGTAGAAACACATGCTTTTCATGTTGTAAATCAACTCTGAGTTTAGCAAAGGAAAAAAATGAAAGAAAAAACACCTCGAAAGAGAGGCAATTAAGATTGAATGTGGTTATTAGCCATTTTTCATCACTGGACATCTGATCCCTGTAACAGTCCTGAGCCACTGTATTTTGGTTTGCTAGTGTGGAGGTGACCTGGGAAGGGAATTCACTGAATTTATAAGCACAGAAGATAGTGGGAAGGGAGAATGTTAAGGCAGACTCACACACCTGAGGCAGGGGCTCTTCTGTCCTGGTCACAGTGAGAGCTCAACTGTCGACAGCAAAGCCTGCACATACAGGTATCCTCTCTTATTCTCACACTCTGCAGCTTCAGTTACCCTCAAGTTGACTGTGGGTAACTGACTATGGGGAGAGAGGAAGGGAGAGAGGGAGACCCCCATATGCATATAACTCTTCCTGCAATATGTTGTCATAATTATCCCATTTAATTATTGTTGTGAATCTCTTAGTACCTAACCTCTTAGTGACTAATTTATAAAATATACTTTAATATCCAAGGGTTAGGCATCCATTGGGAGGGTCATGAAACATATCCACAACAGATGGGGGGATGGTGCATTAAACATCCAATATTTTTGAGTTGTTAAATGACTTCAATAAACATAGTGTAAAAAATCCTTCCTACTGCATATTTATCAAGCTAGGTATTTCAGTCCTAATATCTTATGCATCTATGAAACATTGGTACTTCAATTTCCTGATGAGAAAATACAATTTTTTTCTTCTGAATCATATGACCATTTCACAAGTCAATTTATTTTTATCTGAGTAAGTAAGCCAAACAAAGTTGAACAGTATCAGGAGTAAAAATGGTATCTCTGTTTCTGCAAGTAATTTGGTTATGCCCAAAACTAATGTTTTTTTTTCCTGTGAGGAGTCCTTAATATCACAGCAGCAGACATTTCACTTAATTTAAAAGTAAAATGACATCCAGTTTATAAAATACCCTATTGAAAAATATTACCTTTTCTTAGTCATTAAGGAATAGGATACTCTTCTAATAGTCTAAAATATTTATGTGTATACATATAAATTTTCAGAGCAATGAATATTTTTACTTAGTTGTTAGACTGGATATAGTAAAATAACAGAAACCTTTAGAAAACGCATTCAAGTCTTTTAGGAAAAGTCTGGGTCTATCTTCTATTCTCAGCCCTGGGAGAATCACCTGTTTGACCCACACATTAGACTAATGTCCTTCACTGCTGGCTTCTCATTGGATTTAACCAATAGGAGGCAGTTAGTTGGAGGATAGGAGCAAAAAGAACATGGAGTATTTATTCCCCTGCAATCCCTCAATGCTGAGCCATCCATTGGTCAGGACGATCTAGCAAGGAACACAGCCTTACTTGGGCATTGAGCAGTCATCCCCATAGCTCTACTGGTGAAAGCCATGTCTGCACACACGGAAGTGTCACTTTACACTGTGCCCATGTGGGAGGTCACTGAAACTACTCTCCCAGAAGAACCAACTCTTCCACCCACTACAAAAATAGACATGTGAATGCATTTTGCTTGCCTAATATTAATGCAAATATGTCTTGATTATATATATCTAATTTTCCTATGTTCACTCAACTCATGCTGGAGTGAAGTGAATTCCCTGCTTGATAGCTTGAATAAAACTCAAGGCATACGCTTTTTCTTCCAGTGGAATTTTCATGTTCTCAAGAAAAAAGGTAGTTAAATGTTTGACATCTTTTTTCATCCTAATGAAAATATTAGCAACTAAATCATTCTGTACAGCTGTTTGGAACAGGAGGCTGGATGAAGGCATCAAAGAAATTTTATTTAGGCATTGTGTTACATTACATCACTATGTTCCTCTGCCAAACTTAAAAAAAAAATCTATGA